GTTATGGTAAATACTTTTGTCATTTTATCCCTTAAACTTCGGATGAACTATGAAAGAAAACCTGAAATTTAACGATGAGAACAGTAGAAAACAGACAGCACAAGTGTCAGGACTTGATATGCTATGCGGAATGCGAAGTGTGGTGCAGAGAGATAACACCAGCAAAAGGGTCTCCGATCACCAAGCAAATGTGACCGTGGAGGGCGCCCATGTGGTACATAATTGTACTCAACTGGTTTTAACAACACTGAGCTCCTCTAAGTATTCTATGCATCGTAAGATATCGAGTTCTTGGTGGATTAAAGAAAAAGCTCTAGAAGGATAAATTGTCTGACTCATCCACGGTTAGAGAACTTTTCGTAGCAAATGAAAGAAGTTGGAGTTTTCCTAAAAACAGCTTCAGTATTCGGAGAACGGAAGAAAGAATTAAACGGAAATTAGCTTACAATTAGATAGGAAAAAAATTACTGCATTAATATATGTGCAAAGATGTTGTTTTTTCTTTGATGGGGCAAGAATAGCGTAAGGTGTTAGTAGATTTTTGAATTAGTAGATTGAATAGAATGAATGTAATGAATGGGAAGGATAGGTTGGATGGAACAAGTAGACATCTTGGAATAAATAGAATGGATGGGATGAATATGTGGTAAATGGACAAATGAACCACGAATAAATGTTGAAAGAATGAAGAAAACAAAGATTTTGTGATTGAATGAAAGGGAGTGGATAAATGGAGTGGTTGAGTAGTGAATGAATAGCTGAATAATCGGAGAATGAGTAAATGTTAAAGAATTAGTAAATAAGTGAAGGAATAGGACGTGTGAGTAATAAACACCATTTTTTCCATATTCAAAACACACCAGCAAAGGAAAATTAGGAAAGATAGAAGTGTTGGCAGAAATTATCCTTATGAAGATCTTTGCAATAGTAGCGCAAAATAACCTTATATGTGAAAATTTAAGTCTGAATGCCCATGGCATCTCAGTATTTTATGAATAATCATTACTTTAGACACCTCAGAGCGATTGACAGTCTACTACTTTGATGTTTATTATAATTTTTGCAAATATTTGGAGGCACCCTCATCAGAGTGATAAGAACGATGTCACGCCATTGCCCACCACAAAGTGCGAAGTTTATTTGGTTTTTTCTTCTTGCAGAAATCCATTACTAATTGAAATTGAGTTATTGAGGATTTACTAAGAACATTAGTGCAAATTTGATTTCATACTGTACAATTTCAGACTTACTTATCAGAAATATATAAATAGGCTCATTTGATGATCAGGAGGGCG